TGTCATGGACTGAAGGGGGGAAAGAAATACATTATACACACAAATCCACACACAAATGATACCTTTGTATCTGCAGGTAACAATTTTAGGTGGGTGTTTAGAGGTAGCCTCTATCAGGCTTCAGAGGCGGCCAGAAATAGTAGAAATTGGCCAAATAGACAGATTATTAAACATGTCAGAGGAGTACATTTTCATGTGTGGCAGACTGTACACCTTAGTAGACCAATTAACTCCCCTGGTATGTTATCTTTCTATTAGCTAGTATAGTATTTGGCCAATTTCTACTCTTCCCAGCCACCTTCCAAAGCCTGGTAGAGGCTAGTTTCGAGCCCTGTCCTGTCCATGTATGGTTGTGAAATCACAGTCCAATCTCACTCCGGAAAATTGCTTACTGAACTGCAGTCCAAACTGTAGACCAACTCCCTCTCGGCATTTCATCTGTATATTTGGCCAATTTCTACTCTTTCCAGCCCCCTCCCAAAGCCTAGTAAGCCTGGTAGAGGCAAGTTTCGAGCCCTGTCCATCCATGGTTGTAAATGCCCAGTCCAATCGCACCCCGGAAAATTGCTTACTGAACTGCAATCCAAACACCTGTCCGCACAGCCCTGTAGTTGTTCAGTGATTCCCTCCTCTCGGGAACACGGCGAGGTTCTGAAAACAGTTCTTGGAGGGTAAGAAGGTCAATACCGGGCGGGGCGAACACGAGAGAAATCCGCGCTAGATAATAGGTAATTCCAAACAGCCGCGCGGGGCTGAATTCTGATCGCCTCCGCGTTTCGAGATGAGGCCTAGGGAAAAAATGTTGTTTCCTGTTTCAGTCTTGAAAAAGTTAGGTTCGGTAGGTAGGGATTATCTTTTTTTTTCTTTTTTTTTTAGAATTCATTGATAGCTATACAGGGGTCCAACTTATACAATACAGTTGAACAAAGTAAACCTTGCACGAGGACTCTTTTATTTTCAATGCCAATGTTAGAAAACCAGATGTACAACGTTTTATCACTCAGGTGTCAGATCATGGAGCTAGAAAAGGTTGATCAGCTTGATAAATTATGTCCCTTACACCCCCCAAAAAAAGTCTAGAGTCGGCAGTTTCTTCTAGGGTTGGTCACGAAACAGAAAACACAACATTTGTTTTCCTAGGCCTAAGGCCACACCAAGATAATCCTATCGTACCATTTTAGGCCATAATAGGATACCTAGGCCTTTTTGTTTGTTTATTTTTTTGCCCGCCCGCTCCATTATTTTTCTAGAAAAATCCGTTAAACAAGAAATTAAGTTGGTGTGGCCTAACAGGTAATTCCAAACAGTCGCGCAGGCTGAATTCTGATCGCCTCCCGCTTTCGAGATCAGTGTTTGAGAAAGATTGCTCCTGCCCCCGAAGCTTGCAGGTGAAATTGCGTTTGGACAACCATTTTCTCCTGACCTTCTTCTGACATTTGCTTTGATATTACACCTCGGAAAAACAGACGTGCTTTTAAAATTCCCCTACCGTCACGTTTTATTACGTTCACTCACACTCACAGTGCTCTGTTCTTAATGGGAATTCAAATTTCACCCTTAGGCCACACCAATTTAATTCTTGGTTAACGGATTTTTCTAGAAAAATAATGGAGCGGGTCGGTGAAAAAAATAAAAAATAAAAACAGGCCTAAGCATCCTATTATGGCCCAAAATGGTACAATAGGAGCCATGAAGTCAACACACCAGGCTGGTTCAAAATCTAAACAATGAATTTTGATCTTTTAATGATACCACTGCATATTGAAAGATGGAATAACTGTCACTAGGAAAAAAAGACTGTTTTCAACTGTTCAGGGCAAAATATGAGCATTTTGCAGTTGATTCTGAATTTTTTTTGTTTGAAAGCAGAAAAAAATGAAGAGGCGAATCCGTTAACCAAGAAATTAAATTGGTGTGGCCTTATTACTACAAAAAAAATACCTCCAAGTCGTTTGCAATTACAGAGGTGTATAGAGCTGACCTCCGGCCTTTGGTGCTTGTTAATTCCTACCTTTTCTGATCAGTTCTACAAATTGTTTTTGCTGGAGGCAGTCTTTATCAGATAATTGAGACGGGTTCCTTGATTTGTACCTCCTCTGTCTGGTACTTAGACTTGTCCTCGGGCAGGGATTATCCACAGATGAGCCTGATTATAGCAAATTGGATCATGAGCTTTTGACGACTTAGTTCAGGAGTCTTGAGTTCAGGAGAGAGTGACGGTGCAAGTATTGTATGATGGTTGCAGTGGAAAATCAAATAAGTTCATATATTTGTAACAGCTCTCTTTATGAGAGTGAAAAAGCAGGCTTTTTGAGATGAGCTTGATTATAGCAAATTGGATCATGTCAGCTCTAGATCTCAACGACTTGTCTCTACTGAACTCAAGAGAAGCCTCCTGAACTGACAGTGCTGAAGTTTCGTACAATGATTGCAACTTGGAAAATGAAATAAGTTCATTTCTAACAGCCCTAGCCTGATTATGACTATGAGACTAACACAGGCTTTTTGAGATGAGCTTGATTTTTGTAAATTGGATCATGTCAAGCTCTGAACGACTTAGTTCAGCAGTCTTCTCTTGAGTTCAGGAGAGAGTGACTGTGCAAGTATTCGCCCTATGATGGTTGCAGTGAAAAATCAAATACTCAGTTCATTTGTAACGAATGCCCTCATTATGAGACTGGGAGAGACATGCTTTTTGAAATAATTACCACAATCCACAAGTGTTGTCGAGTTAGGAAACTCAATAAATAAAACACACATTTCTACCTTAACTAGCCTGGAGGTTGGGTGTTACTGACAAATCCACACCCTGTAAACAAGACCTCTCAACAATGGACCGTCACCGCAAAATCTCACGAACTCATTTCACAAACACAGTACGAACACACGGGCAGACGCCGGGTGGACATAACCAACAATTATTGGATCAGTCTGCCGTATGTCAAAGCAGGCTGATTAACGTGCAGAAAAATTCAACATACACAGTACGCTCCAGTGCATACGCAGTTTTCATATACTGTCAGGTTTTTCCAAGCATGTAAAATCAAGTCTGAATTTCGTCGACTCAGTGTGTACAAAACATGCAGATTGGCACCTAATATAAATGAAGAGTAAGTTTTTAAAAGTTTGTGCATTCTCGTAGGGCAGTTTTCGTACCATCAGGTTTTTGTCCCTGTGTAAATCGGGTCAGAATTTCATGTACGAACACACATGCAGGCAGACACCAGTCGAGCCAAACCCAACAATTACGGGATCAGTTTGGCACGGGTGGACTTGTTGGGGGGATTTTCCTGGCGACAACACTTAGACCTAAGCACAAAGGGCTGGACTCACCCAGCCCAAATTATTGTACAGAACTTTTGACGAGGGAGGCTTAACAGATTGTCAAGACAATTATGTACATGTATGCCTGATACATAAGTTATGACAAATGACGTTATATTCAATATTATATTCATTTGTAAATCTGTGCCCCAAGGCTAATTGCTAAGGCAAGTACTGATAATGATAATACATGTAATTTAATAATATAATACAAACTATGTAACGAGACAAAAAATGTCCAGCCTATACGTATTATGATGTTTCTTGGTACATTAGAAACTTAGCAGTTACTAAAAGGTGATTTCAAGAATGAAAATTAAGATTTGGATAAGATATATTAACAATATAAAACATAGTGTTATACAATGAAACATATGGACACAATCATACGGTGCTTTTAGCACGGTATATGGTTTCTTTCAACTTCTTTATCATACAAACTGCACCTGATTTTAGCTCACTTTACTCTAATTTTCATCTGCTTCCGTAGGACTTCTGGTGAATCGTTGTTTGTCTAATCCCTCGCTCGTCGTCAGGATAAAATAATGACAGCTCCATGCGGATAATTACAACAAACGGCTGTATTAACTAGCCTTGATGTCGTAAGCACATTTTTCCTTAATCCCCCATCAAAACAGCAGTTTCCGTAGTCTGGCACACGCCCAGTTTATGTTCCTCACAGTCTCTATGTCTTTAGGCCAAGGGAAAAAATGTTGTGTTTCATGTTTCAGTCCTGAAAAAAATTGGGTCATTAGGTAGTGATTATCTTTTTTTCTGACTTTGGTGATCTTTTTTATACTTGAGTGATCTCTATTGATCCAACTTACAGTTTAACAATTGAAAGTAAAACTTGGATGAGGACACTCATAGTTTCAAGGTCTATGTTGGAAAACTGAATGTACAACGTTTCATCACTCAAGTGTCAGGTCATGGAGCTAGAAATGGTTGATCAGCTCAAAAAATTTATGCCCCTTGCAGGGATCCACAAAAAAGGCTAGGGTCTGCAGTTTTTCTAGGCTCGGTCAGAAAACAGGAACGAACCACTCACTCACTATCCAGGAACCACAACATTTTTCCAAGGCCTGACTCTGACAGTTGTAGTCGCCAGGATAATTCCAGGGATTACCAGTCTCCCCCTGAAAAAGGCCAAAGTTTCCTGTTCAACATTCTTTAAATAATGAAAACCTAAAATCTAATCCAGGCCTGATGATTCATGGGCAGTCAAACCTGTAAAATTTGCTCGTAAAAATGGTTTTAACAACGTGTTGAAGAAGGGAAATTTTTTTTTTCACCTGATCGTTTTGCAATAGACAGTAAAAGTATAGGCCAGAAAGAATATTTGTATTGGGAGTGTTGCATATTCAGGTAAAAATTGCACAGACAGTAGTTGACAGACAAAATACAGTTCAAGGACATTTACGTTTACTAAGTACATGTATCGCTGACATGGAAAAAGTGGCACCAAAAAAAAACTGGGTCAGTGTCCTTTTCAAATGACACAAAGAATTGTAAGTTCAATCTTAGTTTGCAGTATTTTATACCATTTTTGCCACTTATAAGTTACAATAAGTCTTTGAAATAAGTTATACATTTTTGTACATGTACCATATTGTCTACAGTAGAAGCAATCATTTCAGTTTCCTGAAGTCTTATCTACATGTGTTTTAATCTAAAAGTTCCCAAGATATTTTCTGTTCTCAGCATGGTCCAGGTCAAAGTCAAGTCCATCTACGGCTGTGTTTGTGTAGGATTACGGACTACGATTGTTGCCATGGTAACAGGAAGGTTCAGTGTCAAGAACGCAGAGCAGAGTTCCTGAGTCCCAAATATTTATCCTGGTCCTAATCCCCGCCACAGATAACACTAATCCCCTGTTCTGTCCTGTCTTTTCTCAACTTAACCTTAGAAAATAATCCAGAACAGAAGTTTGAAAGTTCACTAGATGGTCACACAGAAAACATTGGGCAAAATTGTCTGGTATCTAAAACATAGGAAGAGTTGTTGAAGAGGTTCATCAGTCACATTTAAAACACAGTTATACTAGTCTAAGAACATTCATCAATCAGATTTTAGAGTTATGTCTTTCGAAATTCTTATCTTTCAAAAATTGTCACTGATTGAAGAATATTCTAAAGTCAATACTAGTAAGAGTTGGTCTTTGAAAATAACTACAGTCAAAGCGAAGATGTCCAGGACAGGTGGCCTTCTTTCTTGGGCAGGTCACTCATATTTCTCATAATCTCTAATGTTGTAATCTCTATTTTCATACTTCTGGTTACAGTTTATTTGTAGAAGAAAGAAGAAGAGTTCCCAACTATTTCCATGCCGTCCCAGCGGCACCCTGACATCGTTAAGGGAGGCCAAAAATGTTAATGAAATCTTCTTGATCGCCCAATGCGATGAGCTAATCAATCGGCCTTTGTTAATTAGATTACTCTGCCCTGACGAGCGTCTCCATCAGACAGACAGGTGCCTGTGTGCATTACCGGAAACATCCAGTATCGCTCTTCAATACCGACACAGCCGAACAGGGACGTCTGATTTATTTAACTCAGGCCCTGATCAAATCATACTAGTTAATTACACCGAAAGGTTTTTTTACAAATTGGTTTCCTTTATCTCGAGGAACGCAAGCGGTTGATCTTATCAAATTCCGCTACCACCAAAACAGCCCGGCTAACGATTTTCCCGCGAACTCTAGGAACGATTGCTTGAACCTTTCTTCGGTTTCCGGAATGAGATTGAGTAAAGGGGTGATTTAAAGAAAAGGGTGATCAAAGAGGTTTCGGCCCTAAATGGCAAAATAATTATGTTGTGTACTCCTAGTCAAACGAAATACGATTGCTGTCAAAAAGGTCTGGGATTGACGTGCGTAAAAGTAAGTTAGTGTTTTATTGTCGCGTGGATTTAGTCGGCCCAATATCCGGGCTCATTTTCGCAATCTGATTACTACAATATGCTGTGCTTTTGTTTACGACGGTTGAAAGAAAGAACGGCAAGTCTAACGAAGGAAATTGACCTTGTTGTAATCTATTTGTCTCAAACGTTCATCAGTCCGTCAATTGTCGTTAGTTCTATTATGTGTCCAATCTTCTTGCCTATCCGTTAATTTTGACAAGTTATTCTGTTACTTCGGATTAAAGGAGGGCACAATAAGTTTTGTTGTGTAGTGAAAAGCATAATGCAAATTTTGAAGTGAAGAAACTTTGTACGATTAAACTTAGCCCAAATCTATTTGTCTCAAGCATTCATCAGTCCCTCAATTGTCGTTAGTTCTATTATGTTTCCAATCTTTTTGCCTATCCGTCAATTTTGACGACTCATCTTGTTACTCAAAATTAAAGGAGGGCAGAAGAAATTTGGTTGCCTATAGTGAAAAGCAATTTTCAAGTGATGAAAGTTTGCACAAAGCTGTTTTTTAAGCAAACTGTACACTGTCAGGTATTTCCACTCTTAGTTCCACTCCACACTAAGTTATCCTGTTACTTCAGATTAAAGGAGGGCAGAAGAAATTTGGTTGCCGAGTGAAATTAAAGCAATTTTCAAGTGATGAAAGTTTGTAGAAAGCTGTTTTTAAGCAAACTGTACAGGTATTTCCACTCAATGTATGTGTCCAATCTTTCTGCCTATCTGTCAATTTTGACAAGTTATCCTGTAACAGTTACTTCAAAGTAAAAGATGGCAGAAGAAGTTTTAATTTGTTGTGTAGTGAATGGCATATGCAAGCTTTCAAGTGAAGAAACTTTGTACAATTAAGCTATTTTTTAAAAGCAAACTTTACAGTATTTCCACTCTATTAAGTATTATGTGTCCAATCTTCCTGCCTACATGTATCTATTAATTCTGACAAGTTATCCTGTACTTGAAAAAGGATGCAACAAGCAACAAGAAATTTCATTACCTAATAGTGTTATGTAAATTTTAAAGTGAAAAAGTTTGTACGGAGCTAGTTTTTTTTAGCAGACTTGTTTCCAGGGTTTAGTCCAGCTTTGACCTTGTCGTCTTGACAAGTGACCTTGCCGTTAGCACTTCCATATAAGGCCATGTTGTTGCTTTTGCACGTCAGGAATTAGCACAGATTCAGTGCATTTCCAGTTGGTTTATTCTACGTGCTGTGTTAGTACATGTAGGTACAGTGCTCAATGCCGTCCAGATGGTAAAGAGATCGAGTCTCTGGTCTCAGCGTTACTTGGCAGGATGGGCTATACTATTACAATGTGTAGGGGTGTTATCTGTATTCTTACTTCGTGTAACATCCCCTTTCTTCACAAAAAGATGTTAGTTCCTCTCTCTTTAAGTTCCATGCATTATCAATCTTAACTGGCATGCATTATCACTAAACTAGAAATCTATCAGAGTCCAGTGTCCGTATTCGTTGTCCATTCTCAGGTTACAGTTCATTCACAAGTTCAAACGATCTGGTTCCTTGACCGTTCGACCGTATCGTGTGATGTACGGCGTTGTTGCTGTTGCTGTTGTTTCTGCTGTCGACTCTGGTGTTGTTGGAGCTGTTGTTTCCTCATCTGTTGAAGGTTTTGGTTCTTCTGTCGTTTCGCGGATGTGTTTTCGGTTTCTCCTGTACTTGGCTCCGTCGACTTCTACTTCGTACGATCTCGGCGACACACGCTCTACAAGTGTGCCACTCCTCCACTCGGCCGTTTTCCGGTTTGGTGCCACTTCTACTCGCACCTGCTGTCCCGGCTGCAGTGGTGGAAGACTTCGTGCTCCCTCGTCGTAGCGCCTCTTTGTTCGGGCTTTTCTCTCTGTGATGCTGTGGGGTACGTCCTGTACCACCTTCGGCTCCAGTGCTTTTGTCATTATTGGTACTGGTGTTCTCGTTCTCCTGGACATGAGCCTTTGTGCTGGGCTACTGTCCTGTCCCTGTGTTGGCGTATTCCGCCATCCTAAGATGGAGATCCAGGGATCTTTTCCATCTGCCGCTGCCTTTTTCAACAGGTTCTTGGCTATTTTTACTGCTGATTCAGCCTTTCCATTTGATTGGCTGTGGTACGGGGAAGTTGTTACATGTCTGAAGTTCCAGGTCTTTGCGAATTCCTTGAACTCTTCTGATGCAAACTGGGGTCCGTTGTCGGTAACAACTTCCATGGGTATTCCATGTCTGCTGAAGTTCTGCTTGCATTTGTGTATCACATTCCTGGCTGTGGTATTCTGGTGTAGCTCGTCTAGCTCCCAGTAGTCTGAGTAGTTGTCTACTGTTACCAGGTAGTGTTGGTTTCCCAGTGTCATCAGGTCCATCGACACTCTGCTCCATGGCGTCGTTGGAGTTGGATGCGGCATGAGCGGTTCCCTCTGCTGCTTCGGCTGATAGGTTTTGCAGACGTCACATCGTCCGATTCTTTCTCGCAGTTGTGCACTCATCCCTGGCCAGAATATGGTTTCTCTGGCTCGTCTGATACATGCTTCTGCTCCTTGGTGGCTGGCATGCGTCTTCTGTGTCATCTCTTCTCGCAGCTCTGCTGGGATGACTATCGCTTGTCCCTTGTATATGATGTCATCGTGCATGCTGATTTCATCTCTGAAGGTCCAGTAGTCTCGGATTTCTTTCTTCAGCTGCGTTTTATTGTCTGGCCATCCCTTCTTGATGGTCTTCTTCAATTCTTGCATGACTTCATCTCGCTGAGTGTGTAGACGCACACGGTCTAACGTCATATCGGACACTCGGATGTACTCAGCGGGTTTCACTTCTTCAATTTCTCGATCCTCTCTCTTTGCTTCTTGGATCTTGAGTATCTCATACTCGTCTCGCCTCGTCTTGCTCTCTGTCTGCGTCAGGTATGCTCTTGACAGCGTGTCAGCTATGTGCATATCTGTTCCTTTGCGGTATGTCACCTTCAGGTGATATTTCTGCAGACGCAGGAGCATTCGTTGCAGTCTCTTCGGTGCGTCAAGGAGAGGCTTCTTGAAGATCACTTCCAAAGGCTTGTGATCTGACTGTACAGTTACCACTTCTCGGCCGTGGATGTACTGGTTGAACTTCTGTGCTGCAAAGACAATTGCTAAGCACTCTTTCTCTATCTGCGCATAGTTCTGTTCTGTCGGGGTTAGAGCTCGCGAAGCATACGCTACCGGGCGTCCTTCCTGCAGGAGCGCCGCTCCAAGTCCCTTGTCACTTGCATCTCCCTGTATGGTCACCTCTTTCTCTACGTCGTAGTATTGTAGTACTGGCTGTGCTGTCACCAGCTTCTTGATCTCTTCCACTGCTTGGTCATGTACAGGTAACCATGCCCATATGGCATCTTTGTCGGTCAGTCGACGCAGTGGTTCACAAACATCGGACAGATGTGGTAGGAACTTCGCCAAGTAGTTCACCATACCAAGCAGTCGTTGTACAGCTCTGACATCTTCAGGCGTTGGCATTTCCACAATGGCCTTAACCTTCTCTGGGTCTGGTCGCAGGCCTCTTGCTGTGAGGAGCTGTCCCATGGTAGGGTACTTGCTTCAGTTTTAGTCTCATCTTCCTCTTGTTCAGTTTGAGATTGCTCTCTCGTGCTCGCTCGAGCAGTCGGCTCAGGTTCACGTCATGGTCTCGGTTGGCTTCTTCGTCTGTGTCGCCACAGCCAAACACTAGGATGTCGTCTGCTATGACATCTACACCTTGGAGACCTTCTAGCACTTCGTGCTGTCTTCTCTGGTATTCCTCTGGAGCCGTTGAAATCCCAAAGGGCATTCTCAGCCATCGGAATCTCCCGAATGGCGTCCAAAACGTCGTGAGATAGCTGCTTTCTTCATCTAATTTTACTTGCCAAAATCCGTCTTTGGCATCGAGTACTGAGAACACTTTGGCCTTGGCGAGCCTTGGCAGTACTTCTTCTAGTGTTGGTATCTGATACTTCGGTCGGTGGAGTGCCATGTTGAGATCCTTGGGATCTAAGCAGATCCTCATCTTCCCTGGCTTTTTGACTACCACCATACTGGAGATCCAATCTGTAGGTTTTGTGACTCTGGCGATCACGTTCTTCCTCTCTAATTCTTCGATCTTCGCTTTTAGTTCTGCTTTCAGAGGAACTGGGACGCGTCTGGGTAGATGTTGGACTGGCTTGACATCTTTGTCAATCTCTATGTGGTACTCTCCAGGTAGGCATCCCAATCCTTCAAAGACATCGGCGTATTTCTCTACTATCTGTTCTGTGGTGCTGACTTGGTTGACCGTGTTGAGGGTGATCAGTCCTAACATGGTGCATGTTTCAGCTGATAGTAGAGGACTCTGACGTGTCTTGACAATCTGGAACTCCAGGTCAATGACCTTGCTTTGATGTATCGTCTTCAGGACTCCTTGGCCTACTGGCTTCAGGATAGAACCGTCGTACAGCTTCAGTCTTGCCCTGCTTGGCATCGTCCTCTGTCCATACTTCTTGAAGTCAGCTTCGCTGATCACATTGCAAGTGGCTCCGGTGTCGATCTGACAGCGTAGTGTTTTTCCCTCGCTCATCCTCAGGTCGACGTACCATTTCCTGTCATTGCATGACACTGTACCCACAGTGTACACTTCTTCGTCCTCTTCTGCCACGTTGCCTTGTATCATGTGTATCTTCTTGCTGCCTGCTTTGCAAACCCTGGCGAAGTGATTGGGCTTATCACACTTCGCGCATTTCTTTCCAAATGCTGGGCATTTACTCTTGTCTTTAGCATGGTATTTTCCACAGTAACCACAGTTGGCTTCTGGCATCTGCGTCCTTCTGTGTGGCTGCTTAAACTTCGTCTTGGCTTGGCCTTGGCTTCGACTTGGCCTTGTCTTGGCATAATGCACGGTCTCTGCCCCATTGCTCTGCATGTCCTTGAGTTGCTTGTTCGTTGTCTCACTGGCCTTACATTCTTCTAGTGCTGCTTGTAATGTGAGATTCTTCTGCTTCAACAGCCGCATTCTCACTTTGTTGTCTCGAACTCCAAGCACGATTCGGTCTCGCAGCATCTCATCCTTCAGAGCGCCATACACACATGTAGACACTAGTTTCCTCAAGCGAGCCACATACGTTTCAATACTTTCTCCTTGGGCTTGTTCACATGTATTGAATTTGTATCTCTCATACACGGTATTCTTCAAGGGCTTGAAGTGCTTATCTAAGGCTTCTATAATCTTATCGGGGTCTTGCCTGGGGTCTACGTTTGGCTGATTTGGGTCGGCTGGAATATCTAAGTTTCTTAGAATGTCCAAGCAATCTCTACCAATCACGGTCTTCAGTGTTGCTACTCGGATTTCCTTTGGTTTCTTGTTCTTCTCTGTAGCAATCTCATAGCTGGCCCATTCATCTTTGAAAATTTTCCAGTTTTGCGCAACATCCCCTGTCAGTTCCATGGGCTTTGGTACTGGTAACAGTCGATTGTCTGCCATTTTTATGCCTTCAAAAGTCTTCTTTTTGACCGTCTGCCTGTGTTTGTTTTGATGCTGTCACCTGCCCACACAGTAACTAGACATTGACATATGCTTGTTCCTGGCACCTCTGACCTTAGATCCTTCTCGTTAGCAGAATTCCTACTTGTCAAACTTTCCAGACGCTAAGGAATGTGTCCTATTTCCTGGGACACGCTAAAACAATAGAGCCCTTATGCCTACGCATGTGCTTGGCTCAGACTGTCTGGAAATTCTTCACAAGTTCTCAATGGAAATTCTTCACAAGTTCTCAATGGAAATTCTTCACAAGTTCTCAATGGAATTTTCTCACAATATCTATTCCATCAAAGTTCTCTGGTGCTCTTTAGACTAGCATTCTCTGGATGCTATCTTGGAAGAAAGACATTAGACATTGGACTTAGCTGTCTCCTTTGAAGACTTTGGCTCTCTCTGTCCTTCCGTCTTCTCTTGAGACTGTTTGCTTTCGTCTTCTTCTGTCTTCTTCTGTCTTCTTCTCCTTGTCGGGTCCGTTTTGCCTTTCTCAGTTCTCCTGAACTTGCTGAAGGCCACTTCTTGACACCATGTTGCTTTTGCACGTCAGGAATTAGCACAGATTCAGTGCATTTCCAGTTGGTTTATTCTACGTGCTGTGTTAGTACATGTAGGTACAGTGCTCAATGCCGTCCAGATGGTAAAGAGATCGAGTCTCTGGTCTCAGCGTTACTTGGCAGGATGGGCTATACTATTACAATGTGTAGGGGTGTTATCTGTATTCTTACTTCGTGTAACACATGTAAGCTTGATTTAATGGACGACTGACATCCTTTGAGACTTCAAATCTAGCTCATGAAGGATTTTGGAAATAATTCCTTGTCGTAGGATGCAGACAGGCATGCTGACAGGCAGTCTTATTTCAAACTGAGCAGCATCCATGGTAAAAATTCCTTGCGGACATGTTGGCCCTGGAGCCGAGGAGCTACTAGTAGCCTGTATACTGGCCCTGGCAACACACGCACACACACGGTCACCCCCCCCACACACACACGCACACACACACACAAACACACACAAATACACATATGCACGCGCGCGCACACACACACACACACACGCACACCTACACCAGAAGTTTATATGCCTTTCAATCCACCCAGTATTATGAGTTACGATATACTCGTTACGTATCCTGCACAATTTCACACAAACACACAGACACACAAACATACATAGACACACACCCAGAAACACGAGTTCCCATATACCTGGGTTTATACGAGTTTACAGCCCCGCTCATATCCTGCACAATTTCCCCGCGCCGCCCTCGTCACACGGCTCGGTAATTCCCGCCGCCGTAATCCGGGCCATCCGCCTTGATTGGATGCGAAGTGCCGCGGAAATTAGATCCCGCCGAAACCTGGCAGCCTCCGGCGCAGAAAGCCGTTTTTATTGTCACCTCATCCAATTTCTCGCAGATGTCGCCCGCGTGCCATCACTGTCTCTAGCCTTCCTGGGGAAATAATCGGGTTTTGATGGAGTGTAATGGAACACAACTTTCAAGGCTGTCTTAGAGCGATATAAGACAGAAAGCAGGCATCCATCAAGGCTAAGAGGAGCAGTAAAAGTAATCCACTTGATTCTTGTAGGCTTTTCTTGTTCAGGGAAATGTGCCTGATGGCCATTGCCTATTATGGAAATGCTGGAGGGCTGCAGCTTCGGGAGCACTTTGAAAATCTCTGTTAACACGTCTGTCTATGAATTTTGTGTTCAACAATGAGAGATGTAAATCTACTGGAGAAATCTGTAGGCATGGAGAAAGTATTAAACTGTACTATACTATTATTGGAAGTTGCAGATGGCCAAAGGATATACATACTAACTAACTAACTTCTAAAGCAGAGCTTACCTTACGACTTTCCAGCATTTTAATTGTCGAAAGTATAATTTTTCTGCTGAGAGACCCAAGATGGACAAATGTAGTGCTGCTTTTTAACCCCAAAGACAAACCCCTGATGAGATCACTAACAATAGAGGATATCTCCTTTCCATGACAAAAGGCTGAGCTGCTGAAATCAGAGGAGAACAGACGCTGGGCTTCTATTCTTTGTTATCAGCCTGATATACAGCATGCTTCCTCCATCACGTCACCCCTCCATACATGCACGCACGCACACAAACACGCACACACATACACACACACACACACATACACACACACACATACATACACACACACACATACTGGGCTTCATGGGCCTGATATACAGCATTTTTACTCAATCATGTCATGCCTTCCTCAATGCCTGTCCTTGGTACCCACCCACCCACCCACCCATCCTCAGCTAACATTAGTTTTTTATAATATAGTCAAACCTGCCCCAAAATAGTGTATAGTCTAGACACCTTTCTACTATGTGTACATGTAGTTGTTGTTGGGTATATAATAATTGCAGATACTTTATTTAAGAATCAAAATGATATATATATAATCTATTCAACATAGCAAACAGTTCCAAATTTACAAATATTGGACCACCACTTATCAAACATTATGAAAGGAAGGACAGAAAACACAGTAATACAGCTGGATGATAAATGGCCAAATTCATGTTATTCAGACGTAACAAATCATGCTGCGTTCGGGCGGTCATGCTAGTTAGGCCGGCCTGGACATTTCCTATTGTCCAATGGGCAGAGGTAGCCTCCGTAGCAGGCTTATAGAACTGGGGGTTTGGTGGTCTTCGGCTGTTTTCTGATTAGCCCAGTTCTAAAAAACGGGGGTAATTCAACCAGGCCGGCTGTGTTGTCTATATGCAATCAGAAAATAGCACATAAAAGATACCAAAGACTCTGAAGACCCCCCCAACCCCCCAGTTTTTGGCATGCTACGGAGGCTGCATTCGGGCGGTCATGCTAGTTAGCCCGGCCTGGACACTTCCTATTGTCCAGCGGCAGAGGGCTGTTTAGGAAGTACAGAATTATGGGCATGACTATTGACCCCCGGGACACAATAGGGGGAAACGATTGCCTTGTTCTGTCGGCAGGCTTTGATCTTTCCTCAGGGGAACAAAAAGTTTGGACCAACTGGGTACTACTGGGTACAGGTCCTCGGACCATAACATGCTTCTGAAATCTGTAACCTGAAAAAAAGGCTCTGTATGATATATTTAATGATACATGATAATTTGGAACTGCTTACTGCATTAAATATATTCATTTGATCTGAAACTAAACAACTGCAATATACCTGACAACAGTATGATCAGTGTTAAATAATCTGTATATCGTCTTTAACATGATTATTCATCCGTTTTCTTCAGATCTAAAATTGGATGGCGAATAATGAGTCATTGCAATGCCGTATACGTGTATAATGTCCTTATTTTATTCTTCTGTACATTTAAGACACAATCACAAATGCTATTACCTTTAAAGTTCTGATTTTCTTTTAAATTTTAATATCTGCTGAGTCACTCTATTTTCTTGCCATAATTCCCTTATTTCTTGGTCTTCTCTGTACTACCCTTAAAATCACACAGATGTTTTACTGTCCCAGTTTTCCCAGGGGTGACAGTGCTTATAGCAACAGGTGGTTAGGATGAGCAGAGGATGAACACTGCACAGTGGGGAGGGAGGGGGGCAATACACATTTCTTTGAGAGAATACACACTCACTGATTCACCACGACTAAAGGAGTAGTGGACCTTGCATGAATCTGACCTCCTTGGGGAATACCAGGGGTGAAAAGGATGTTATAATTGACTGATCACCAATTTCAAGGTAGTTTATCATCACTAATGAACTGTGTACTGTCTTGTGAATTGAGATTTAAATTAAGCCTATACTTTCTTTGTAGCTTTGAGTTGGTCTAGAGGAATGTTTTCTCGCTTTTGTAGGCTGGGTACCATCCAGATTTTGCTTTCTAGCGTAGCGGAGCAAAATCTGGATGGTACCCAGGCCATCAGTTCTGTGTACTGTACTATACAGTTAACTTGTTACCAGATCACTTTGGTCAGGGATTCGAACAACTTTATTGCAAACTCTTGCCTGAAGGCTAAAATCCAAGGGAGCATCTTCAGTTGATAAGTACTACCCAGTCAGTCTTTGGTCTTTGCTTGTATTTGGCTTCAAGTCTTCAGATATAGTAGAATCCCTAGTGAGGTTGTCTATGATGGCAAGACTTTCTGACTATTTTCTCTGGCTCCTCTTGGCAGTGCAATAAGAAAGAGTGCTGATCAAGGAAATATTCAGTCGGCAAAAAAAGCACCATTTAAAGAATTCCCCAGCCATGTGGTGGTTCCAGTTGCTTTCTCTCCCGAATCCTTTCACTGTTGACCCTTTCATTCATGCCCAGGAAGCTGGAAGCAGAAAGAATGAAAAATCTCCTTCCTGCTAACTGGACATCCCACATGCTTGTAGCCATCACAACAGTCATGCTCTTTTTGCTGGGCCCTTGGAAATTAATGCTGTGTTTCTGGGTTCAGACCTGAAAAAATTAATGTCGGCTGGTAGGGATTCTTGTCTTTTTATAGCTC